CAAAATCCACCCCCACCCCCACCGGGTGTGGGTGCTCACTACGGATACCCACCACTTATCATTTTATTATTTTTTTCAAAAAATAATATTTAAATTACTTACACATAATAAAATAATAAAATTCATTAGTGGTACTAAAACATAAAATAATATAAATATTTAAATATAATAACTAAATTGTTAATTTTTAAAATAAACTTAGTAGTTTAGATATAAAAAATAGTAAAAAAAAATACACGAAGTTATATAAATTTTTATAAATAACTACATACTAGTACTTATTTTACTATTATGCATATATATATATATATATATACACACACACACACACACACACACACACACACACACACACACGGTGGGTCGGGTGTGGTTCTAGGCGGGTTTTGTACATAGAACCCGAATCTAACCCGACCCACCGCGGGTTTACTTTTTTAAGACCCACCCCGACCCACCACCCACCATCACCCAAAAAAACCCGATCCATGCAGGGTGAATTCGGGTGGATGTCCGCGGGGCAGATTGAAATTACCATCCTAATGACCGGTTAGGTCATCCAGGACAACAAATGATGAGCTAGATTATTTCTAACTCAGCTGGACATAATTTATCTAGCTCCCATATTATCCCTACACAATAGTATATGTGTGTCGCTTGCACGAATGACAAATTAATTGCTTGCCTATCACGTACTAAAGTTGGACATGAACCTCCCGTTTTTCTTCAAAGATTATAAGGTGACATTTGTGGACCGATCCATCCATTATCTGGACCTTTCAGATATTTCATGGTCTTTATTGATGCTTCCAGTCGGTGGACTCATGTTAGTCTACTCCACTAGAAATAAAGCATTCGTCAAATTTGTTGTGAAAGTCATTGAATTGAATGTCCAATTAAATATGTTAGAATGATAATGCTGAAGAATTCACATCGAAAACATTTCATGATTATTGTATCACTCTGGGCATCAAAGTGGAGCATCTGGTACCTCATGTACACACTCATAACGGTCTAGCAGAATCTTTGATTAAGCGTATTAAATTGATTTCTAAACCATTGCTTCAAAAGTCCAATTTACCAGCTACTTGTTGGGGATACGCAGTATTACATGCTGCAAATCTAATACAACTCCGGCCCACTGCATATCATGATTATTCCCCCGTACAGCTAGTACGAGGGGTAGAACCAAACATTTCCCACCTGCGTGTTTTTGGTTCTGCAATCTATGTCCTCACACCACCTACACGTCGTACCTCTATGGGTCCACAACGAAAGCTAGGTATTTATATTGGTTATGAATCCCCCTCTATCATTAAATACTTAAAGCTCATGACCGGGGACCAATTTACCGCAAGGTATGCAGACTGCATCTTTGATGAAGATCATTTCCTGGTATTAGGGGGAGATAAGAGCCCCCATTTAATGAAATACTGAGAAATTTGATAGGATGAAAAAGATCTTTAATACCTAGACGGCTGAACCCTTGCACTAGCCAAGCTGAACTGGAAGTTCAAAAGATAATTAATTTACAAAATTTAGCAAATAACATGTCATATGCTTTTACTGATTTAAGAAGAGTGACTACATCCCACACTCCTGCTAAAAATGCCCCAACAAGAGTAGATGTCCCCAAGGAAAACATACTGACACCCCTCATCGCCAGAAGTGTGGGAGACCAATAGGTGCATAAGATATAAATCTGAAGAAAACTAAGATCAATAAAAGTTCTCAGTCACTCCACAGAATATCAATCGTCTAGAAGACGGAGAACCTAGTCAACCTGCACGTGCTCCATATAATATTAACACTAGAAATGCGGAGCATCCAAATCCAAATATTGCGAGAAATGACAATGATCTGATTGATATAAATATAGAAATTGTCATACACTATGTTGATACATGAGAAACTTATAATAGAGATTTAACAGTCTTCGTCAACACTTTTACCTGCGCGATTGCCTCTAAAGTATCACGAGATAATCTGGATCCAGAACCAAAAAAAAAAAAAAAAAAAAAAAAAAAAAAAAAAAAAAAAAAAGAGAGAACAAATAGTAAAGATGAATACAATGACAATGCTACTCAAAAAGAAAATTAACAAGACTTAGAAAAATTCAAATCAAAAGTAGTATTTATTTAGGCTATCGTTTTAAGACTAAGTATTTACACTATCGATTTTACAAAGTTGCACACATTTATTTTAGTGACAATTATAATGAATCTCCTATATTATCTTTCATTCATATATTTTGAATTACATATTTAAATAAACAAATTCAACATTCAATTACCTATGTATGAACTTCTCATATATAATCTTACATTGATATATACTTTGAAATACTTATTTAAATATAAACATTGGGCATTAACTCATTTGCACGATACGCGTGTAAAATTAATATAACAATCTAATAAAACTCATAATTCCTTGTAAGTTGTCCAAGGCAGATACCATTTTTCATTATCTAGAAAACAAACACTTGGTGGGCGGACAGATGAGAGTGTGTAAATGTCACACATGAGAGATAAGAAGTCACTTCACTCAACACTACCAAAACCTCTCGGAACAGTGCTACAACAAAATTTATTGTCTACACCAAAATTGTCAGTATTTGTGAGCTTTGGAATTTGATTTTTTTTTTTAATAATTAAACGATTTAAATCCGTCTCAATTATTATTTTAATAAATTCAATTTGCAAAAGTTATTCTGTACTGTGTGTCCAAATATCTGGGGCAGCCCAACAAGGGCAGTCCGAAACCTCTTTATTTTCTAGTCCATTCATTTTGATTTTTTATAAAGAGGGGAATAAAATTTTAAATTTAAAAAAAAAAAAAAAAGAAAAAAGAAAAAAGTACGGGGTAGGAAAAGTTAAATGCAACAGATAACACAGTCTCACTGAATTCTGGAATTTGAGGACTGTATTGTAGCTGGAGAAAATGGCATTGTGCAGAGGTGTAGCCATGTCCAATCTTCCAAATCCGACGCCCTTCGCCGCCGCTCCCAACGCCCATACTCGCCTCCCATCCAAGACTTCTCTTCCACTCAAGAAGCCTTCAATTTCCGGCTTCATTCCGGGTATTCTTTCCGCCTATATTTGCTGGAATTCTGTTCCTTTTCCCTTCCAAAACAAAACACATATTGGAGTTGCATGACATGTTTGTCTTTTCTGCTTTTTATTAATCATTTTGCTCGGTTTTTCAATGTTAATTAACGTCCAAAGAAGTATAGTGAGTATTGGTCTCTGTTCAGCAATTGGCATTCATGGATTTTATAACTGTTAGCTGATTGAGTTAGTGAGTTTGAGTAGTTGATAGCATTAATTGATTGTATAAATGACTTTCTAAAAATCTGATCGCTAATTAATTAAACACTCATATTAAATGTTTAACCAGGTTAAACAACTAATAGTGGTGGATGATGAACTAACTATGTTACCAAACAAGGACGAATCTGAAAATGAATGTGATTACATGAACATGAAAAAGTGAACGTTCTTGTGGAAATTGGAATCAGGAAATGTCTTTTACACTCAAATGTAGCTATAGAGTTTTTGACTGGGTTCCATTCTGTTTTAGTTACAGGAGTGCCATACTACTCCAATTTAACTATAACATTTGCATCCTCTGGGGAAACATCTAGTTTTACACAGAATACTGTGTATGAACCTGTGCAAACTGAGACACCTAAGCAAGAAGAAAAATATGATACAGCTTCATATAATGAGGCATCCAATGACGACGACTCTTCTCTCGACTTCCAAGCACAATTGTCAAAGATTTTTGCTCAAGTCGGTATAGAGGTTTGCTTCTAATCCTTTTTGCTTTCTCATTGCCCTACGGTTTTTCTATAACATGTCTTTTACTTGTCAAAAACCATTTTTCCATCCAGTTTACATAATGGATTTTCTGTTATTCTTATATTCATGTTACGATTGTTGGGGCACCCACATCCTTTTCTTGAATGAACCCGAATTTTTCTGATGTACAGCTTCACTATTTGCAGTTAAGTTCTTGCTAGTTAGTTGTTTTGCAGAATGTTTATGATTTCATTTTTTCCTTTTTTGGTACCTTGGTGATACTTTTTGCACTAAATTTTGCTCACTAATTTCCTCACACTGATTCAAAATTTCGAATGTAGTTCATCAGACATTTTGTAAAGTTTTGTTTTCATGTTTTTTTCATCATCTTCTACTAGTACTACATTGTATTCTGTAAATAATGGTTTCAATTTCAAAGATAAAGAGGCTTTCCCATGGAAGGAGTATCCTTGTTTTTGCATCGTCAGGAATTCTCTTGATCTATTCACGTTTCTTGCTTAAGATGAAGGGAGACTGGAACAGAGGGAGCGGGTACTTTAGCATTTTCACATTCATGTTGTTGATATCATAAGGCCACTCATATAGAGTTATAGGTCCTTCATATACTTGTTTAAATATTTATATTTGTTCTTGATAAGACTCATTTACAGCGGGACTTTGAGGAGGGATTTGATAATTAAAGTGTGGTTAACTGTGTAGCCTCGCATTGTCAATATTCCTGGTATTCTTCAAGTCTTGTGTTTCAAGTGTTCAGATGATACTTCACAGATCTCATACTAAAATTAAATCAGTTCCACATATCCTCAAGAAACAAAAGTTTAAATAGGTTTATTTATTTTCATAAATTCCACCATACCATTCATTTTTGTTAGCTTCAAAATGCTTATCCTTTTTTGTTTTGAGTGTTCATTTTCCACTTTGGATTTTGTACAAGGTTTTCAATGTGCAAGCATGTCATGCACAAACTTTTCCTCCTTTATGCTTTTATTGTCTTGCTTATTTATTTAACACTCCGAGGTTTCGTAGTACATTGGATACTCGTGAGAGAAGGGAGATTGGTGATATAATTCCAGATAGGTTGCTATGATGAATTTCTTACTAAAGTTTATGAAGATTTGGTAATACATCAGGCAGTCTTTATCATTCCTGTAGTTTACCTGACCCACTAGATGTCATTTCGGAGTGGCAATGGAAACCCGCAGCCACTACCCGAGGGTGTGCACTGGGTAAACCTCGCCTTGTGACTCTAGCCAGGCAAGCCAGCAAAGGACCACAAGGAGGTAAACCAACCTAGATTGCCTATAGCTAACCGGTTCAAATCAAGAAGGCTGGGATTCGAACTCGTGACCTTATGGACAAGTTTGTATCCTTAGCCAGCTTGGCTGGGGTTACAAGTGTGCACTGGGTAAACCCCGTCTTGTGAACCTAGTCGGCAAAGGACCACAAGGAGGTAAACCAACCTAGGTTGCCCATAGCTAACCGGTTCAAACCAAGAAGGCTGGGATTCGAACTCGTGACCTTGTGGTTACAAGTTTGTATCCTTAGCCAGCTTGGCTGGGGTTACCCCCTATATGTCATTTCCCTTTCAAAATAGAATGTGCTCTATTGTCCAACAGATTCGATCTAGCTTTTCCAATCTGCTGTTGAATTATCATCCATGTCAGTCTACCTTTTGTTGTTAATTTTGATTCTAGAAGTGGAGAGAAATCGCGTTTGCGGCAGTAGTAGTTAATGTTGTTTGTTATCAATCTTCAGTAGAAGAAAAGTGGATTTAGCCAATGCATAACTACATAACTATATGTACTTTGATTAACATAACCTTTACTTCTGAGAACAGTTGATTACCAAGGCAGGTTGATAGAATTAAAAATTACAACTTTTCTATATTTTCATGGTGGTTAACAAATATCTGATTATGCATTGCAGTTTGATCCTGAAAACTCGTCCTCAATTTACCTTTATGGTGGTGGTGCTATTTTAGCTGTTTGGTTAACTTCGGCTCTTATTGGTGCTATTGATTCTATACCCCTGGTATGTAGATATTCGCTTGTTTTGTCCATGGATAATGACTTTGACCTATCACTGACAATAATGTAACGTGCTCTCCAATGTTACCATTTTCAGTTACCCAAATTGCTGGAACTCGTGGGTCTAGCTTATACCGTGTGGTTCACCATCCGGTATCTGCTATTCAAGGTAAAGTTCGAAAGAGCTAATCGATGTCCAATAGTTCCGGTTTGCCAATTCCCTAGTACTGATTTTATGTGGTGCTCAAATTTGCAGAAAAGTAGAGAGGAGATAGCAGCAAAAATCAAAGATATTAAGCAGGAGGTGCTGGGTTGAGAAGATGCTCAAAGAAGTTCTACTACTACAAGTATAGTAACTTTGAATGTATATTACTTCTCTACAAGCCCTTGATCTGATTCAATGCCTTTTTGGTCAAAACAATTTGAAAGAGAGCATCTTTGTGCATTACTCTTCCAAATGTTTGGTATATATAATATGCTGTTATAAATACAGTCAATTTGAAGTTCCTTAATTTGCTTAATCTTGATTCCTTTTCTAATTCACCCTATATATTAGAGGTGAGGGCATCCCTTACCAAAGATCAAAACTTTAAACTCCACTCCAGCCAAGTTGGTCGGATAATTAGCTTGGTAGCCACAATGTTTCAAATTCAACTCCCTGTAAGAGCTGTTTATTGTCGTTTTTTGTTTGAGTCGATCGGGGTTTCACAAGGAAAATCATCCTTATACATGTCAGCATGCTATTAGTCCCTTAGTAACATCTAGATACTATATTTGTCTTTAAATACAACATCGATACCATGTGATTACAATAATACTTGGCTCTTATTTACCGAGTAACTAGAATGAAACTCCTTTGTTTTCTCTTATCATATTACATATTACATACACGTTTATTAAGCATTTTAAACGAAGGTCTAGTAATTTATGTTGGGAGTGATGGATTAATTAACTTCAACGCTTATTATTGAGGGGAGAATAAGAATAAAGTCCTTTTCCAATTCAAACAAGCATAGTTGCCCTATTCCTCTACAAAACATTTGGTACTAAAGAAGAATCTTGTTTTAATAATGTTTCTAGTTGCTTAAATGCTCCGGGGCATTAATTCCTATGCGGACGAAAATGGCAGCCAAGCTCGTGTTAAAAAATGCACCATAGTATGGTGTATTTTTGTGATGCATTTGTACATTTTATTCTGATGCATTTCTAAACATGTGGCGGTGCATTTATGCATACTTGGTGGTGCATGACTGCATGTCCCATAATGTGGTGCATTTGCGCAGTTTTGAACACGTTGTGGTACATTTACACACACCTAATAGTGCATGACTGCACATTTGCACAACAAGGCTAAAATTTAAAGGAATTGACGGAATGACACCACTATGAGTGGAGCTTGCGGCTTAATTTGACTCAACGTGAGGAAACTTATGAGGTCCTGACATAGTAAGAATTGACAGACTGATAGCTCTTTCTAGATTCTATAGGTGGTGGTGCATGATTGTTCTTAGTTGGTGGAGCGATTTGTCTACTTAATTTCGTTAACGAATGAGACCTCAATCTGCTAACTAGCTATGCGGAGGTATCCCTCTGCGTGATAAATTTTTAATTGTTTGACATTTGGAAACAAAAAATATATTAGAACTTGATACATTATAAAGTGACGCCCTAAGAAGCTTGTGAGAAAAGGTAAATTGCATGATGTATATCTGTGACTGAGTGATTACTTATTTCTCATGACCTTACGGTCTTACTCCTTTTAGGGTTTGAACCCGGACATTTATCAAAATTATTAATGTGGTGTCCAAATAAGATGACTAAGGTTGATGTGACTTTTTTATTCTAAAATATATTTTTATACAAAATCAAAAAGTCTATTGAAGACGTGTCTCAAATAAAAACGCTTTAACTGCGTCTCCATATTGACGGAGATGCCTGGCCATTGCATCTTTGTCCTGACATCTACGGCTACGGAGTCTTTGTTAGAATGAATACACCTATATATGTTCAATGAAATAAAATAAAATTTATTTTGAGATCCAGTGCCGGAAGAAGGAAGAAGGTGACAATCATGTTATCAAATTTGCAGCCTGGTGTCTTTCTTGTTTTTGTTATTTTCAATGGACAAGAAAAAAAAAATTGAAAAAAGATTATTTTTTAAAAAATAACATTATTAGTAAATGCTAAATACTCCTTCCAAAAGGTTGAATTCCTAATCCAATTAAACATTTGGGAGGATGTAAATTACGGTGTATAAGAGATCTGTCAACTTTAGACATAATCTCCACACTATCACTGTTGAAGTTTAAACCTTGATCTATTCTCTTAAATACTATCTACTGAATCAGTGAGTTAAGTCCGTGCAAGCAATACAAGATACTTTACGATCCTTTTAGAGGCATTGTGTAGGGGAAAAAACAACTTTTCATACCCAAGTGATGAAAAGCAAGAACCAATTGAAGTAAAAAACCAAGAATGCACCTTTCGGGATATGCCATCACACGTAGATCTCCAATATCACAACAATTAAACAAATCCCAATTCTTGGAATTTTCCTCCACGTTTTGGATCCCTCCACTCCAAATTAGGATCTCTAATTTTCTTTTTTTTTTTTAGATTAATTAATATTTAATAGTGAGTGTTATTTTATTTGTTTGGTAATGCCTTTTTGTGCAGTGAGTTAGAGTGTTGATTTAATTTATAAATCGTAATAAGTTAGTCTAAGTCCAATGAACGATGTATCAAATTGAATTCATGTTTTGTATGGTGTAAAATTTAAAATATGTCAAAGATACTAAAATATTCACTTTCGCTATTATTAACATTCAGTGAACATATATATAATTTAAATCATATAAAAAATATCTTAAGACCTAAACTCTCTCATTAAACATTTAGTTGAATACTTGATTAATAATAGACCTTCATTATTTAATACTAAAAGGTTCCTTTCAACGAAAAAATCAAAAATAAAATGACAAGTTTTCTTGCCCGGGGGAGGGGTAGAGATCTTTTTTGGAGATCTCAAATTTTTTACTTAATAGGTCACATTTTAAACAAAGATGTAAAAATTATTAAAGAAACTTCCAAATTTTAAAGTAATAACTCTTGGGACACGCAATATAGGTACCAACCCCAACTGAAATTACGACAATGTCCTTGTGACAACCACTCACCCTGTGACCTACTTTATTGGCGGCTGACCAAACAGCCCCCTATTTTTTTGCAACAACAGCTGTGCCCTGATTCCCTCGACACAATTTCCAATTAATTAACATACAAAAATAAAAATAAATAAATCGTAAATATAATAGCTGCTTTGATTTTGAGCATCAATATATAAAAATACTAATATTACAATTATAATAGGAATATATAATCCTTTCATAAATCCACACGCCTTAAGAATAGAGAATAGTAAAACCAGAATTAAACTAAAAAAATAATAATAATAACTTTATTCTTTGCTTTTTCTTCTTCTTCTTCGTCATTATCATCACCGGAATCAGAAGTCCTTGAGAAGTTTACGGACTTGTTCCAATGTCACAAAGAGCACCACAGTGAAGGGTCCCTGGCGAGAAATGGTGGGGATGAAGCCCTTGTAAAGGGCCATGGGGCCCTCAGCTTTGATCGTCTTCATGGCACAATCAAGGGCGCCGGCGTACGGCGGCGCCATTCCCGGCTCCACCTTCATGTTCATCATCCTCGTCTTCAGCACGTCCACCGGATTCGATGCCACGGCCGCCACGAACCCGGCGGCGAAGCTCGCCGTCACGTGGGTCCCGAGCCCGTCCTTCATGATTCCCTTTTCGAGGATCGTTTCCTTGAACTGGTCGTAGGATGCCAGCTGGCTCGCCGTGACGAGCATTGCGCGGTTGACGGTGAGGGAGGAGCCGCGCCACAGGCTGGTGACGCCCTCGTTTTTGGCCATTTGGGTTATGGCGTCCACCACGCTCTTGTAGTTGCGCCGCTGGGCCGCCGGGAGACGGCCGTCGGCTTGCATCCGTACCATCGCCACGTCCGCCGGGTTCCCCACGGCGGCGCCGATCCCGCCGGCGATAAGCCCGGCCCCGATTTTCTTAGCCAGCGGCATGTTATTCGTTTTCGGGTCACTCCACTTCTGCTTCATCATGTCGTACAGCCCCATCCGGGTGGTGGAATAGAGCGTCTGTCGGAGGACGGTGGCGGACACGCCGGAAAACAGCGCGGCGACGCCTTCCTGTTGCACGATCCTCACACCCACCGTAATGGGCCCCACTCGCGGCGGCGGAGGAATATGAATTTGACCGGTGTGGGCAGCGGTGGTGTGAAAAGCAAGCGCCGGCCTCAGCGTCTGAACCGCCGGCGCAGATTCCCCCTGGAGCTGCATTCTCACCTTTATAAGATCCAACGGGTGGGTAGAACACCCGGCAACAATGGAAGCAATCCCTCCCTCAGCAAATCCCTTCAAACCCATATCGAACAACCAGAACAAACAAAGATTCAAGATCTGAAATCAAAAATTTCGAAGGAATTCGAGAACCAATAAATCAAGAAAACAAAAAAAAAAAACAAATCTTTCTTTCAAGAAGACCAATTGGAAGTAGAGTTCATCTCACTGGAAACCAGGAGATGAGAATGGAGGCCGAAGGCTATGGAAGAAAAGTGAGGAACGTTTGGTCTCTGAGACATATGCTATGGGAGACGAATTAGAGTTGAATGATGGGTTTGAGAGGCAATGCAAGAAAGGTATATATAGAGGGTGGAATTTTCAGAATTGATTGTTTCTAGTTTCTAGGGTTAATCACGCGGAGACGAAACAGAAGAGGAACATGGGGTTGGGTTATAGCCCTCCCTTTGGTATACTTTCCTATTCTCTCCAATTTTCACGCGGATGTAGGCCCTACCTTACAACTCACCACTGGTTAACTCCTCAATTATTAAAGGAACCGCTAATTAATGCTAAATTATTTCAATGGAAATTACATCAACTGGCACTATGTAGTATGTAGGTATGCATGTATTTACTTTATTTATGTTAATGTTCGGTCCATAACATTTTTATTGTTAAGTGTATATGTTAAGAAATTGGTAAATGTCAATATTCAATGAATTATTTATGATTGAGAAAATGGTCAAATAGGCCTCTAAACTTTACCACAAAGTTTAATTAGGTCCATAAATATTAAAAAAGTGAAATTAAATCTTCAAAGATGTCAAATTGAGTAAATGAATCCCAAAAACCGGTAAATGACATGTTATTACATGTCATTTCAATTCAGGCGACGAATTTCGGCCACCAGAGAAAAACCCGACCACCGGCGACAAAAATTGATCGTCCGGTCGTCTTCCAATAGAGAAGACGACCGTCCCGAACAGATCATGGCGTCTTCTCCAATGGAGAAGGCGGCTGTTCGGTCGTCTTCTCTAGTGGAAGACGACTGGACGGCCGAATTTTGTCACCTGTGGCCGGAATCCATCGGCGGAACTGAAATGACCTGTAATACCGGTTTTTGGGCTTCATTGACCCTATTTGACATGTTTGAGAGTTTAATTGCATTTTTTAAAAATTTAGGGGTCTAATTGACTTTTGGGGTAAAGTTTAGGGTCCTATTTGATCATTTTCTCTTTATGATTCAATTGAAAGTCGAAAATAAAAATTGATAAATGTCAATAATTGATTAACTATCTCTGAAATTGACTTTTAACATAGTTCAAAATTGTTTTATAGTTAGTTTAAGAGTTATTTCCATTTTAGTTGTATGACTATTAGGTACTTCCTTCTTTGATTATTAAGTATTATTATTATTATTATTTTTTTTACATTTGGGGCATAACTTTTATTTTTATATTGTTTTTTTAAAAAAATGAAGGGACCTTCTTTAGTAATAATAGCGAGACAACTCTCCATGTTGTTAATTATTTTGAAGAATTTATTCTACGTCAATAAAGAGAAACAAGCAAAGATAGTCAGCCATAGTGTCCTTTTACAAGATATCTTGTGGTGACATAATCATACAAATAAGAGGGTAACCTTATAAATTTTTTAAATCAAGGATAAGTATTGTATTATTTAATACAATTTTATTTGATTAGTTCATTGTAAGGACATATTGGTTTAGAAATATATATATATATATATATATATATATATATATATATATATTTATTTATTTATTTATTTATTTATTTATTTATTTATTTATGGAGCAAGAGTCTCAAAAGATTAAAATAATATAAATATAGTTCCAGTATTTTGTATTTCAAATTTGATTTACCAAATTTTATTCAAATGTTAGATATTATAATATATAACGCGTTACAATATCTCAATCTTACTAACTATTCAAATGTAAAGATTATAAGGTTTGTAAAATTAAGAATTTCATACGTAAATTGTAAGCCCATTAGTCCAAGTTTGTTACATAATCTCTTATGGCATCAAATTAAAACATACAAATTGGGAACAGCCACAAATGGCAGAAAATCCCCAAACACGATACTAGATATCATGCGAAATTGCGAATATTAAAGAAAGGATGTTCATTTGTTTGGACCCGCAACCTTGATCAATTGTCCATTCTAAATCTACTTTCATCAGTATGTTTTCACACCCTTGAATTGGCATATGCGTGCATGTATCTATCATTTATGTATATTCATGGATCAGGGTAAAAGTTTTTTTATCAGAATATAAAGAAATAAAATTATCGACATGATATACAAAATTTTAAATTTTCTTTTTAAATTTTTTTAACAGAAATGGAATAATGTGCATTTCAGTTTGAAATAATATTTAAGGAAGTAATTGAAAACCACACATTTCTTCTTCTCATTGATGTATTGGATGCCTACTTTTAGCCACCATCCCATCTTCCACTCCCTACTCTTCATCTACAACTATCCAAAATAGGGGCTGCCATTTTTGAGACTTTAGAATATTAGAATAGGTATATATTCTAGAACCCCATCAAGTTTAGGTGTCTTCTTATTGTTCTCTCTAAATTATTTTATTCTAACAATATATAATAACAGAATATATACTTTCTTATATGAGCATTTGTTATTGGGAAAACTTTTACATTTAACAAATGAAATATGATAGAAATTTGATTTTAAATTAGTAGATGTGTTGGGTGTTGTACTTAGGGGGCGTTTGGTTCAGGTCATCTTTGATTACCTAGGTAATCTGAGTCTGGTAATGTTATATTACCTTGTTTGGTTCAAGTTATGAGATTACCTGGTAATGTTATATTACCTGAAAACTGATGTGGCGATAATGTTTCAAGGTAATGTGATTATCCCCATTTTTTTAGGTAATCTTAAATTACCTTGAATTATTCCAACTTTGTCCATTGTTAACTAATCCTTATCCTTATAATAATAATAATAATAATAATAATAATAATAATAATAATAATATTATTATTATTATTATTATTATTATTATTATACTATAAAATATACATGTCTATATTTATATATTTAATTTTTTAATATTTGAACATTGATATATATTCATACATATAAATAAATAAAATAAATACACACACATAAATAATGTTCTCAGTAATATTTTAGGTTATATGATTCAATTTACAATAATGTCCTCAATAATATATATATATATATATGATTGAGGACATTATTGTAAATTGATTCATATAACCTAAAATATAACCCTTAACAAAACACGGTAGTATTATATTCCAAAATCCAAACCAAACATATAAGCTAAGGTAATCTTACATTCCAGTAATCTCACATCACCTTCCTGGAGGTAATCTTATTACCTGGGGTAATCCAAGATTCCGTGAACCAAACGCCCCCTTAGGGTTATCGCAAAAATGTAATAAGGATTAAAGAGAATATATATTGTATTATAAAATAGTGACCTCAAAATTGAGTATTACAAAGGCATATTTCTAAGTGCCATGAGAATAGTAAAATGGAGTCCATTGCCTTATGTAGCACCATGGATCATGAAGTAAGTATCATTTTAATTACACGTTAGTTTTATTTGATAATATTATTCTGTTTTTTTGTTTTATTTTTCACACACATTAGTTTCATTATAGCAATACCAAAGTATAATTGTAATTCTATTACAATTTAATTTGACAATATATATTATTGTATGCTTGGATTTTGTTTTCATTTTTCACACACACAGTAGTTTCATTATAGTAACATTGAAGTATCATTTTAATTATACTATAATTTCATTTGACAATATACGTTATTAAATGAACCCTGTTTTTTAATTTCATTTTCTACACATACTAGTTTCATTATAGATTTATAGCAAAACTAAAGTATTATTTTAATTCTACTATAATTTCATTTGACGACAATTGTCCACACAACGTTATATAGACCATGGTCCATTGTATAACAACTGCTCATCAACCGCTCAACCACTCATTCAAACACAACATTATTGGTTATCACCCTCAAGTTGATTACAACTTGTTGTCATATTGATGATTAACCATTTAGATAGATGGAACAATTGGTGCAACTTGATTCAAGTTGAGTAATTACACCTACATGTAGCCAGTAAATTAAATTAAATGTCATGCATGTTGACTAAAATGGGTTGACTTGGAAAGTTCCAATTGTCTCGTAAACCCCTTTAAAAAAAAAAAAAAAAACTATAATAAAAAATGTTGTGACTTTAAAATATATTTAAAAAAATCGGCAATATCGTATTGAATTATGAACAGACTTTTGTGGTTTAGCGGTCAAAAGTGTCCCTTGAAAATGGAATATGGGCATTGGGCAAGTTCAAAGACCAACCAAGTGGGGTGCAATTTATGTTATGATTATGATCCTATTAAATACGTGAGTAATAAATTTCGAATACAAAATTTTCATTCGTCAAAAAAATATATTAATTTAATTCATATGTTACGTGATTTGAATATTTATCATCACAAATTCACAATATAATATTAAATAAAACACTTATTATATTAAAACATAATATTTATAAATTGGATCAAGTTATATGATCAAAAAATTTCGCTAAATCTCTTTGATTTATGAAAAAAATCTACATTCGCATTATGAATTTACGCTTTGGATAAAGCATGTTCAATGGTCGTAGCTGATAAAGCATCACAGAGAAATAAGATAATCTAAGTTGTGTATAGATGACTTACTCAAATCAAGAAAATTAATTAATATCTCTGATGAAGAGTTTCACTTAAAATATTGTGATTATCAAGCTAACTATTTAACCAATTTCATTAGGCCCTGTTTGGTAACATAGTCAACTTATTAATCAAATTTGGCTTGTTTGACCACTTTTAACTGTTTGACTTAGTTAAACAGTCAATATGAGTGTAATTTGGTTAATTAGTTTTTTGTAACAGTTTATTACTCCAAAATGCTAAAATGCAAAAAGTTGCTCAAAACAATTTTCGATAAACTTTTTTGATAAAATAAATTGTACACTTAAAGATAATTTTGCATGTAATCAACTATCAACTAATAACTAATTTACCAAACATATTTCTACAACCATCTAATGGCTAATGCTATCAGTTAATCAATCCCGATAATAACTATTTGCCAAACATCCCTAAATATGGTAAATAATAAAAAATGTGTTTGTGAGACCGATCTTTGGTAGATGCTAAACGCCGTCCGTCGGTCCATGTTGATATAAGTAGAATTGAGAGCCAGATTTAATTGTAAAAATTGACTTTTATTATGTGACCGGAAATGGTATAAAATGAAGAGAAAAATGGGTGGAGAACTAACACGTGTCGGAAGGCGTAGAAGCTGGAGAACAGGACCGAGTCACCGCGTGAAATCAAAGCCGGGGGAGGTGTATTAGAGGAGGGTGTTTACATTTTCAAGGTAGTCCAGACGGTGGGGCCCGCTACCCCACTTCAAATGTGGCTGCCAAAAACAAATAATAAAAAATAAAAATTTTAAACGTCGCCTGAGAGATTCGAACTCTCGCGGGGAAACCCCATGTACTTAGCAGGCACACGCCTTAACCACTCGGCCAAAGCGACAGTTGATGTTAAGCAATTTCGTTGGAAGTATATATCAACTGTTAAAACGTCACATCATTCTTATAGCAACATAGGCGGCATAGCACTGAAATACGGAGTAGGTAAATGTTAGTAATTGAAAATTGGTCAAAATTAAATGCCGCTTAACTCTAAATATAAATGAATGACTAAAAACAATTTATATAGATAGAAATGATAATCACACGAATTAAACATTTTAAAGTTATTGTTAACTTTTATTATATTTACTAATATTTTCTATGCGCGATGCGCAAAACCATATGCCCAATATTTATATTTTTAAAAAAATTAACAAATTTTTACTAATTAAAATCAATGTGAAATAAAATGTATTTATTATATTAATCTAATATATAATGAATATATAATGTTTTACAAATATTGTTATAATTAAAGAATATAAGAAAATATATGGTAGATTCATGTGCATGGTAAGTAACGAAAAAGATAACGGAAGTTATAACGGTAAGGGTATTTTTGTCCAAAAAATTGTATAGTACAACTCTAAAAGCACAATGTACAAAATGATTAGCATTAAAAATATGGACATAAATGAGGGATATAACTTTGATTGAGACTTATTTTGTTTTTAGATTAGATTAGATTAGATATTATGTGATGCACATGTTTCATAAATTTTTGCTAAGGAGTTGAAAGATGATAAGGAAAATATTTTTGATATTTTATTTCACATTTGAGTTTATAAAAAGTTGATTTTCCAAAAAAGTACAGTAGTTTGTAATTATACGTAGAAGTATAAATAGACTTAGTTAACATGAATTTCACTTGTTTGGTTACATTTGATTCCATACATGTCTTCCTCTTACTAGCTCACTCACAATTCACAAATTGACAATGCAACTATACAAGTTGATAATGTGTTAGGTCTTTTGAATTGGGTATTATTTCTTTTAATTAACTGAACAAAATAAATAACATGAAATTTATAATAAATTTTTAGAATTAATTCCAGCAATGGTCTTCTGACTATGTTGATTTTACACAATGGTTCTCGAACGGCGTGATCGACGCGAAAGAAATCGCGCCGCTCTCCCCCTAGATCTGTTGCGTGACGAGTTTTCCAATGCATTCTGCAAACTCTTTCGGCATCGATTTGAAGTGCTCGTAGTCGATGGCGACTTTGACGTTGCCGTGACGCGACTTTATGGCGGTGATGTCTACGGGGCTTAGGTGGTTGGTTTCCCAAAAAACGTTGAACTTGCTGTTAGTCGGAGACGGGTTGTTGCCAGTGCCGGTGGTGTAATCTATGGCGAATGCTAGGATGAAGTGGAAGTCAACCCATTTTACCTGGTTTTCCAGCGCCCGTAACCGTTGTCGTTGCTAGTTTGCTACTTTCCCATGACATATTATTTTCCGATAGAGAATGAATACAAGGAAAGGGAGAAAGGCAGTGAATGACTACTTTACCCTTCAAACTGACATCCATTTAACTTTCAACTAACGGAAGGACTAATATTGGAAAGATTTCGAAAGTCAAGTGTCTAAATTGTCCAAATTAAAACTCGAGGACTAATTGTAGAAAATCAACATAGTCAGAGGACCATTGCTGGAATTAACTCTAAACTTTTAGAAAAAAAATATCAAATAAACCCTCAAACAATATGTAATATAACAATTAGACCCCTAAAAAAAGCACCTTAATAGTCACTTTGATGCATTTGGATCCATTAGCTTATAAACCTGCCTACTGGTTATACCAAATAAATATGAGTTCTTCTCATCTTCTCCCGAAGGCTGAATTTCCAGCCTCAAGGGGCGGGAATATGTAAATCACGGTGACTCAATGACTTAGTAGACAAAGTCAAATGTCAGTGCGCACAAGGGATGTCGTCGCCAAGGTTCAAATCTTGATCTCTTAATTGAAACATTAGCTTCATCTCAACTAAAAGTCTAAGTTGATAGTTGGATTGCACATTTATGTTTGTATGCTCAACACGTCCCTTACGTGTGTGGGCCGATTACTTTTGATGGGCTCCAAACAACGCGTGGATCATAATGGGCATGACTCTATATCAAATTGAAACATGCACTAAATCTCAACTAAAAAGTTAAGTTAATAGTTGAATTATATATTTATTTTTGTATGCTCAACACTCTTCTTTTAAGTAATATCGATTCAACAATTGAGCTAAGCTGGTATAGATAGAGTTCTAATCTTTGTTGATAGACGTAGACACGTAAGTACAGTCAAATTATATTGCAGTAAATTTTTATTAGTACTTTTTTCCCTTTTTATTCCGTAGTTTTTACTACGGAGTACAAAGTGACTCCCGCGTGACGTGCTGACGTCGCGCGTATTCCGAATGCTGCTGGCTCGAATTTTCTGCTCAGACCGTTCTTCAGTCTCTTTCTCTCTACCATTTTGGATTACCGCCGCCGCCACCACCACCGTCCGCGCCGCCGGGGCCTTTCTATGCGAGATAACAGACTCGGCTACCGCAGCCACGGCTATCACCGGAGCTTCTATGTGTAGCAAAACCAAAATTGGTCCTCGGAGTCGGTTAAATGCTCTTAGGGTTGCCGAGCTTCGTTGTGGTCGTTCTGCTGATTTTCGGTCTATTCATTCGCTCTATATGCAGGAGCGCGACGGATAAGGAGGAAGAGATCACGAGGTTCGTCACCGTTGCTGCCAAAGAGGCCAAACATGTCGAGCCTGATGGCTCGGTAGGGTACAACTCCGGCTCCGTGGAATCCTTGCCTCTCAAGAAGGGTCAATGTTGCGCCGTCTGTTATTGCCCCACCACTACTCGCTGCTCGCGCTGCAAGGCTGTTCGTTACTGGTTAGTATGCGCGTTGCCATTATTTCTGTTTCAACTACTCCCTACTTTAGAATTAAATCAAATTGCTTATTACTTTATAATGTATATAAAATTTTTATATGCAGTATTTAGAAACTAAAATTAAAATCACTATTAAACCCCCAAAAAATAGAATTTAAAAATTATAAGAAAATGTTAAAGAAAATATGCAAAAAAAAAAAAAAAAGTAGATTTAGTTTGATGATAAATAATAAGCAGTGAAGGTAAAATGGGAAAGAATGGGTAATATTTTTCTTGTAAATAAAAATGCATGTGTTCTTAATAAATCAATTAAAGAAAGTTCAAAGAAAGGATTGTGGACACTGCTAGACTGCTAGTGGTGCACAACATTGTTGATAAATGGCAATAATAAATTATGATTTATCTTACTTGTCCAATACAGAGTATCCTTGTATTGATTGTTATTTGGAAAAAAAGTATCGCTGTCTGTGGAAACCATATGAATAAAACCATATTGATATGAACATTTAAATACATATCAATATTTCCTTCAAAAACCATATGAAGTTCCATAAGTAATAAAATTTTAAGGTATGGATTTGGAAATTATGTTTTTCTTGTAACATCTTTTCTTTGCATATATATTACTTTGTATATTGTTGCAACATTCTTAGTTTTGCAATATATAGCTTTACTTTTACCACCAATAAGTTAGTTCAACCTTTTCTGTTGTTAATGTTAATTGAATTGTCTTTAAGTACAACCTTGTTTTGGAGTTGAAGTCACTTTCTATCCCCTGAATGTTTTATTCCATTTTCATATAGTTCTAGGAATTGTCAAATTTTTCATTGGAGGCAGGGCCACAAGGATGAGTGCCAGGCACAAATTGCATTGCACACTGACAGGGGAAGTAAACATGTTATGCCATTGACTGAGGTCAAAGCTTTCTCAAACTCTGTACACATGCGTTCTGGTCCACCATCTCCAAATATTTCACAGCCTTATTCTTCTTCTTCTACTCCCAAAAGTGAAATATCTTATGATACTTGTAGAAGTGAAGTGGCTGGGTTAGGAACTTCTGAAATTTCCTCTTCTGATGCATCTAGAATGTTCACAGATATTGGTGATGCAGGACAACAGAGATGCATCCCTTTGGGATCCCCTCTATGCTCTTCAAAGAGCTTTCAAAATAAGGAAGCTAGTTGTGGTACTGCCATGTTAAAAGAGATTACAGAAAATAAACGAATCAACTCATCTTATTGTGAGAAGGAAGACTTGTCACCTATAAGTAATGGAGCCAAATTCATTCCTGCTAGAGATCAAGGTTACAATGGCTCATCTGCATATGAAAACAATTATGCCTCACCTTTAGAAGTTGGGAATGTTCTGAATGTGTCACAACGTGCAAGCAAGGGTTTGAGGACATCCATATGGAATGTAATACAACATTTTAGACCCATTAAATATTCCAAGTCCAACACACAACACATAGAACAGGATTGTGCTAGGAAAAGTAACCATAAGGTTTGATGTGAAACTTTTATTATCTCATGAATTGTTAGTTTTTCTTGTTGAACGGCATTACAGTCTTTCACTTCTGTTGACAGGCAATATTTCCTTACGAGTTATTTGCACAACTGTACACTGTTGAACTGGTGGAACTTTATCCTTTTGGCCTTTTGAACTGTGGGAACAGGTAATATGAAGTCTGTTTTCTTTATTAAATAGTTGAACAACAACCAAAAGGAGATGAGAGGAAAAACAGTAGAATTCATAAACAATCAATAGTTTTTTTGGTACTTATTCTTAAGAATTGAAATAGATGGAGGAACCCATCAAATAACTCTTTGCAAATGTTATAAAATTGAAATTTTCTAAGCTTCATTTACTTACCTTCTACCAAATGTATCCTTAGGTTCTATTTGTCAAATACAGCTTGAGGTTTCCATATCTACTAAGTCTAATTTCCACTTTCTTCATGTTTTGTTTCGTAGCTGTTATGCAAATGCTGTCCTTCAATGCATGGCTTTTACGCGTCCTATTACATATTATCTTCTACAAGGGCTTCACACAAAGACATGCAAGTATTTGTTCATGGATTTTAATACTAACATTTGGGCTGTTCCATCTATTGATACTCTTCTTACATGACATTTTGTTAACTTCTCAGGTCAGAAGATAGATTGGTGTTTCATCTGTGAGTTTGAATGTCTCATTCTGAAGGGGAGAGAGGGGATGTCTCCTTTATCTCCAATTGGGATACTATCCCATATACAGAAGATAGGAAGCTGTCTAATTCGTGGAAGGGAGGAAGACGCCCATGAATTCTTGAGGTGAGATTGTTTGAAGATTTTACATTACTGAAGTTATGGTAAAAAAATCAATTACCCATTCAATTGTTGAAAGGGCAGGTATGCAGTGGACACAATGCAATCCATATTCCTCAAGGAAGCTGGAGCTAAAGGTCACTTTGCAGAGGAATCCACCCTTGTAGGTTTAACTTTTGGGGGTTATCTTTGTTCAAAGGTCAGTTGAATGAAGGTTAATTATCAACAGCTGCAATTTACCAAATTAGTTGTTTTATCTGTAGCATAAAATAGTTATCATTCGAGAATGAAATTTGCAGATAAAATGCTTGAAGTGTTCAGGAAGATCTGAACAGTTTGATTGGATAATGGATCTTAGTGTAGAAATAGATGGAGATATTGAAACTCTTGAAGAGGCTCTTGCACAATTCTCAGCTCCTGAAATACTGGATGGGGAAAATAAGTACAAATGCAGTAGGTTGGTTCTTTTGTCATGCAAGTAATATGTTGAAACTTTGATAAAGTTTTTTCGATTATTGCTTTGTGGTCTTTCCAACATGACTTTGAACATGATATGCCTCTGTACCTGAGCCAAAGTGCTACTTCCCCAGCCCACTAATTTATCGCATTGACCAATAAAATATGAGGGAGTCTATTTTCTACACTTCCATCTTAATGCAACCCACTGAGAGTGGACATCTAGTCACTGCAATCTACTCTGCTGATGACATTTCTGTTGGAATTGACCCGTTTTCTATAAAAATAAGCTATCCCATTGCTACTTTGTGCCATGATGTTGCAGGAGTTACTAACAAGTCATTCTTGTTTTATGGTGTTACAGATGTAAGTCTTATCAGAAAGCTGAAAAGAAGTTGACAGTGCATGAAGCTCCTAACATTCTTACAGTCATTTTAAAGCGATTTCAGGTAATTTATTAATTGGCAACCTATTAGTTTTTATCCTCTCCTCTGAACTTACTTCATAAACTGGGTTTCAGTTGGGAGGCTTGGGAAAGTTGAACAAATCGGTACAGTTCCCTGAGGTTCTTAACCTTGCTCCATTTATAAGTGGAACTACTGACAAAGATTCTGCATACATTCTGTATGGCGTGGTTGTTCACTTGGATATGATGAATGCAGCTTACAGTGGTCATTATATAAGTTATGTCAAGGACTTTCAAGGGCAGTGGTTTAGAATTGATGATTGCAGGGTATATACTTTCTCTTTGCTCTCTCATTCACAAGATATCTTTGTTTAAGAACAACCATGATGACTTTTTCTATTTAAATGTATATGTTCAGCCCTTGTAAAATCTTATCTTCTAATGACATGCATATTTAGATCTGCCAAGGAACTGGATACTCCTTGGTGTATAGTAGGCTTCGTTTTAAGACTTCTACATTATTTGTTTGTTCTCTTAGGTTGTACCAGTGGAGTCCCAGTCTGTCTTATATGAAAGGCCATACATACTCTTTTATGCAAGGTATATCATGGAACCTACTTTTAATTAACTGCTACTTTTTTTTTAAATAGTTTTTGTTTTGCTTTGTGGGGGGTAAATCTGTGACAGGAATTAATTTTCATCTTTCTAGGCAAACTCCATGCTTGGTGAGGAACTTCAAGATATCCTCTGATTTGGAATCTAAGAGGAGTTCAGAAGCTATTTCTTCTGGTAATATCAAAAAGAAAAAAAAGTCGAAATTGAGTACAAGCAGGGATTCAGGTCACCTGCTTCATAGGTCTGACCCTAATGATCATAGCTTGGATCTTGGAGGTTGGAGATCAGTAGATTCATCAAGTGATACTTCATCCATTTTCAGCTTCTCAGATACTAGTTCTTATAGTACTGACAGCACCAAGGACTCGAGTGCTGAGGAGATTTCTGGATATATATTTGGATCAAGCTAAGGTGGTAGAGGTAATCTGACTTCTTGTTTAGCAACTATGGTGCCTGATCACAATATTAATGTGATGGATGCCTGGAAGGAACTTGACAGAGGTTATATAATATATATACACTTAAAATAACACCTCTTGAAAGATCAGAAACGGCAAACATTACATTTGTAGTTGTACAAATGTGAATGCATTAAGGATCCGTTTGGAAACCTGTAAAATCGATCTCTTCATATACGCATACATACTTATATATCATGCATGAAGTAGAGAATTTAGTTTAGGGTGGAACATCAAATGAGAAACTTGACAACAATATGGTAATATAATGATCCGTGACAATTTATAGTTTAGTGCATGTGACAAAAAGAAAAAGCCTTCATATTAAAATTTTGTTTAATACTTATATCCGTCGGTCTATTATATTAAATAATTCAAATTGATGTATTTTGTGTAATTGCTTCCTATAATCTCATTAATCTATATAATTTTTTAAAGAAAGATCAATCAATTAAAAGATGTCCATTATTCATATAGAATTATAGAGTATTGATAGATAAGTTTCGCCACATTATAAAAGTAGTTGAAGTGATGATTATACAATAGATATATTAATAGAAGTATAATTTTGTACACTAAAACAACAACATATATATATATATATATATATATATATATATATATATAACATAAATTTTTGGCCAAAAAAAAAAAAGAAAAAGACAAAACATATGCCAACAAAACTATGCAAAATATCATAATTTGAACGAATATATAACTCCTAAGGATACAAAATCAGCTTCTGTTGAAGCCAATTAGCCAAGTTACCATCCAAAATATCATAATTGGTCAATTCTCTTGGACACAAAGGAAAAGCTTTTATTGTGCGGCGGGTCTTTGATTCTTTGGGTTAAAAATAATTGAGAAAGTATAAAACATATACGAATTGAATGAAAAAAAAAAAAAAAAAATCTCTCTTCGTCCACAAAACATGAAATCTTACCCTGGACAGACTTGGCAGATGTGCCCCCAGTTCATGACATCATTTGCATTTATTAGCTGATCCATTACGGGCTACCATGGATTATTGCTTATTATTATTATTATGGATCACGAGAAGGAGGAAATCTCACATGGCCTCGTCAGTCAAGGCTAATAATGTTTTCCACCTATGGCTTCAACAACTTGTCGCTTTGGCCGAGTGGTTAAGGCGTGTGCCTGCTAAGTACATGGGGTTTCCCCGCGAGAGTTCGAATCTCTCAGGCGACGTCGATTAAAGGTATAATTTTTATTTTCCAGTTATTTGTGGGAAGACTTGGGTTTCTTCTTAATTATTCTATCAAAATTAACTTTTAATTGAAAAAGAAAAATTCTCATTATATATATGAACACAAAATCACAATAAGAGAAAATCATTTCTTCATTGCAGACTTACAAATTAAAGGAAGAAAATTTTATTATGATGAGTAATCACAACACACAATATATAAATTGACAACAAATTAAATTGTGTAATATGAAGTTCCAAAACAAAGTACACTCAAATACAGAAATATAACAATAATAATGCAGGGTACAAGTGATGGTGATATAACCCCTAAACAATCGATCGATCAGCTCAACAAAATATATAAAGGGTAGATCGACTAGTTAGATGGGGGTGGGGAAAGGGTAGGAATGGTGGGGATTGAAGGGATAGTAGTGGGAATATTGTTGCTTGGGAGTGGAATATTAGCGGCCGCCGGCAAAGGAGGGAGACTCAGCTTGGGAGCTGAAGGCAATGTGGGAAGAGGCAAAGATGGCAAAGGTGGCAATGTAGTGGTCACCTTTGGAGCTGATGAAGGCAATGTGGGAAGGGGTGTGTTTGGCAAAGATGGCATTGGAGGCAATACTGTGGCTGTCGGCATCTTCGGAAGGCTTGGCAATTGCGGCAGAGATGGGATTGTAGGCAGTGGAGGCGCCGCCGGAATCTGCAACAGGCGGCGATCCCCGAGGGTGGTGTCGATGCTTGAAAGAGACAATGTTAATATCAATGAAAGGGCAACAACATTGTTCAGAGCTGCAGCCATGATGATTATTGTTGTTTGCTTAGTTGGTTTAGGCTTCAGAGAGAGAATGTATGTAACTATATATGTATATTTGTATAGCTTGTGTTAGAAGAAAGGAAGGACGATGATATGATAATCTTGATTGATATATATATGCTCATTTCATCATTTGTGAGTGGTATATATAGTGGATGTTCTGATTTTTTTTAAAAAAAGAAGAAGAAATCAAAAGTTGGATGAGATGTTTTGAAAAGCATGGAGGATCAAAATTGTGTTGTTAGTTGACCGGCCTTCTCCCGGATTGGACTTTCATGATTAAGATTCAAAACAGTAATATTAGTTCAACACACAATGCCACGTTTTACCTAATTAATTAAATTCATTATTTTATTATTTCAATAAACTAAATGGCACAAAATAATTTTATTAACAAAAAACTATGAGACTATTCCAGGTGAGACATATTTCAAATATTAAATACTTTTTAGTAAAACTATACTCCATAATATTTTTTCTATGGGTTAATAAGTATTACTGTACATTTTAGTGGAAAGTAATTATTAGGAATGAAGTGTAATTAGATTTTGATAATGCAATTATAATAAGTTAGAAAATTAGAATTCCAAATAATAATAATAATAATAATAATAATAATAATAATAAACTTTTATTAGAATTGAAATGATGTAGGCAAAATTAAGAAGAAAATGGTAAAATTTAAAAAGTATTTATAAATGTATATATAAGAAGGAAAGCTGCCAAGTATCTTGTGCGCACTTCTGTGGTTCCTCTTGAAGGAAGGTCACACGGCTGCATTAGTTAAAGAAAGTATAGAACAAATATATATTACTTTGTAACATAGTTTTAATTAAAATTAATTATAATATAACGGTTTGATTTAAAAACATTGGAAATTATTTGTATCAATATAAGAAAAAGTGTTCAAGTCTCAATTCATTAATGCAATCTATTACGTACACTAACACAATTTTCATTCCCGTTACGTTATAATGCTAACATTATTGACTTTTATTATATTTAGTAGATATAAGATTTGGATCCAATAAGAACTCGCACCAAGGAGAGAACTAGAAACAAATCAGAGTTGTTCATCTGGACCATCTAGAAAGATCTAACGACGTTAAAGAACATAGAGTGAGAACGGTGACATTTTCGTAAATAATTTAAACTTTAAGTGTAAGTAATAACACTTTTAATAACACCATATAGTGAATCCCACATGATACATATAGGTGTAGTGAAATTGTTACCTTTTATAATTTATGGTTTTGTTTTTTTTGTTTTTTTTTTTTTTTGTTTTGGGATTTAATGTTTAGCTTTGTTTAATTTGGTTTAGAAGTTCACTTTAGTATTTAGTAGTTATAAAGTACACTAGGTAACAATATTGTGTAACTTTTAACACTATACAATGCACTTTTTAACAATAGACAGTGCATTTCTAGATACTTTTAAAAATATCAACGAAAAAACTAACTTTTAAACCTAAATCGTAAATATTAAGCATTAAGCAGTAAAAAGTGAAATCCTCAACCAAACGTACAACCAAAACATCAAATAAAACCAAAACTCGCTAAGTCATAAACTCTAAAATCCAAACCCTTAAGAGTGCACTGCACTTTCGCATTGTGTAAAGTGTAATTTTTAATACTATAGAGTGTAATTTTAACAATATAATATGCATTTTTGAATATTCCTGAGAAGTGCATTGTATATTGTTAAAAGTTGCACGGTAAAATTGATGAAAATTAAAAAAATACCACCACATTATTTTTAAATTAACATTACTAATAATAAGCTTGGTTGGTGTGAGTGGTCGTGCACTCTTGTCTTTTAAGAGATGTCAGGAGTTCAAGCCCTTATTTTGTCCATTAATTCAGTCGGCTCGGTACAAACGTGGATTAGTTTGAGTATGACAAATTATATCGTGCACCGTGGTGCATAATCGATTATGCACCGCGCATCAAAATGACGTCGTTTTGTTTAATGAAAAGAAACGGCATCTGTTTCGCGTCGTTCCGCACCCTTCCGCAAAAAGTAACTCTGTTATTCAGTTTCATTTTGTATACACTGCAGTTTCAGTTCAACACAACTACAGTTTTATTTCGATGTAACTACAGTTTCATTCGATATTTATAGACTCAAATATTTGAAAATGTTATTTAATTTTATTTTATATACACTATAGTTTTATTAAAACACAACTACATGATCAGTTTGATATAATTACAGCTTCATTGTACAACATACACTCAAATATGTGAAATGTTATTCAGTTTCATTTTATATACACTGCAATTTCATTTCACCATAACTACAATATTATTTTGATATAACTTCAGTTTCATTTGATAATATAAAAAGAATACGTGAGGCAGTGTCGGTTTAGATACACTGTAGTGTTAGTTGGTAATTAACATACAAAAAAATGCGCGCTCCTTTAACACTAATGGCGCACCGTTTCTTTACTTAAAGAAACTGCGTTGTTTTGACCGCGGTGCACGTGCACCGCGGTCCACGATATAATGATTGTTTGAGTATGGTATGAGCTTAAAGGGCCTCATACAGTTAGGACATGCTCAGGGCACCTGGTGATCTGACTTAAAAAAAAATAAAATGAATAAGGGTTAAATAGGCCATTCAATTGCACACCAAACTACAATTAGGCCATTGAACTAAAAAAATGCAATTGAGCCACAAAAAAAAAAAAAAAGTGCAATTAAGCCATTGAACAACACAAATGCAATTTAGCCTTATTGAGCCATTGAACAACACAAATGCAATTTAGCCCAAAATAACATGTTTAGGTGATGTAACAAGTTACCAATTTTAAAATTAATTTTTTAAAATATTTTTTAATAATTAATTAATTTAATTAAAAAAAAAAAAGGAACTACCGGCTGGGGGCGAATCATCTCCGGCCGGCTTCGTCTCCATGGCCGGAGACGAACCTCCGTCTCCAGCCATGGAATCAATATATATATATATATATATATATATATATATATATATATATATATATATATTTATATTTATATTTATTATTTTAAAAAATTAATTTTAAAATCAGTAATTTGCTACATCAGGTAAACATGTCATTTTGGGCTAAATTGTATTTTTTTTAAATTCAATGGCCTAATTGTAGTTTGGTGTGCAGTTAAGTAGCTTATTTGACTCTTATTCCAACACCAAAAAAAAAAAAAACAATAATAATAAATTGTAAAAGTAATTTAAGCGTTAAGTCAATAACACAATATACTTCTAATAATCCCCCCTCTCTCCCACCAAATTGTTAATCCCGGGTCGCATTATTATTATTATTATTATTATTATTATTATTACTATTACTATTACTATTACTATTACTATTATTATTATTATTATTAGAGTTCTATTACATAAATTTTAAATTTCTTTTTTTTGAAGGAGAAAGTTTAATTCATTAAATCGGAAGCAAGAAAGTCAACAAGAAAAGCAGGTGGCTCATCCAACCACTCACTGCAACCTGACACAGAAAAGGCCTCCCTAGCAACAGCATGGGCAGCGCAATTCGCAGATCGCTTAACATGACAGAACTGCACATCCTGAATCTCAGATGCCAAGCTCTTTACTTCATCAACTAAATAGCCAAAAACAGAAATAAAAGAATCCGAAGTTAAAGCATCAAAAACAATCTTACAATCAGTTTCCACATCTACAGCACCCAAACCAGTGCCCTTGAGCCAACTCATCGCCTCTCGTACAGAAAGCACCTCTGCCTCCCTAACAGTATACAACCCTGGCACTCTGACATTTTTAGCAGCAAGGAAATTACCACCATCATCCCGCAAGACCCATCCAAACCCCATTGCATTATCCACCTCCCTTAACGCAGCATCAGTATTGAGTTTGAGCCTCCCAAGCACAGGCTTTGCCCAAGAGGTCACGGCATATGGTTGTTTGTTGCCAGCACCAACCTGTAGCTTTTCATTAGCTTCTCTCCAACAATCCAGAAAAGCCAAAGACCTACGCACCATAATAGATAAGTCAAAAACAGCACCCCTCCAAACACTCTCGTTTCTACCGCACCACACACCCCAACATGCCATCACAAACCTAGGCTTAGCAATCAAATCTAAAGTGCCCAGAGCCCAAAAGAACCAGTCACCAAGATGATTACCATCATAGTTGCACACATGAGGCATCCCCAACAAGTTCCAAAGGCGAACCGCCTCCCCGCACTGAACAAAAAGATGCATGGCCGACTCCTGCACCTGCCTGCACATATGACAATCCACCAGGCAAGCAACATTCTTAGATAACAAAATATCACGCATGGGAAGATAGAGGATGCTAACTGCCAACAAAAGCTCTTCACCTTAGGAGGGACCTGCAAGTTCCAAATACTTGCCCATGGGTGGTGACTCGCGTCCACTCGCATAAGTTGCCTGTAACATGATTTGACCGAGTACACACCCTTCTGCTCCCAATGCCAAAACCACTGATCATGAGGTCCCCGGTTACTGACAGGAATATTCAAAATTAAATTAGCATCACGGGTATTGAAAATATCCCTCACACAATCCACATCCCACCCCTTACCGTGTTGTTCCATCAGAGAAGCCACCGGTGCCTCATAAACTGTGTGATGCAACTCCGTTTCCACAAACGGATTCCCATCGTCAGGGAGCCACGGATCCCTACCAATTATAGTCCATTTGCCATCGCCAATGACCCTTCTACAGCCCTCCTTCAAACAGCCTTTAACCTCCAGCATACCCCGCCAAACATAGGATGGGTTACTACCCTCCCTGGCGTCAAAATAGTCACAATCAGGGTAATACCTTGCTTTAAACACACGGGCCACGAGACTTGTGGGATTGGAAACTAACCTCCACGCCTGCTTTCCTAATAATGCTTTATTCATCTCATGTAGACGGCGGAACCCCATTCCACCACATGCTTTCGGCTTTGACAAACCCTCCCATGATCGCCATCTGATCCCACGTTCACCACCCACTCTGCCAGTCCACCAGTATTGATTCAGAATTACCTCCACTTCCTGACACAGGCCCAAGGGGAGCAAAAATACCATCATAGCATAAGCTGGCATTGCTTGCAGGACATTCTTCAGAAGCACCTCCCTCCCAGCTCTAGACAAAAACTTGGCATTCCAAGAACGGACCCTGGTGAGTATTCGGTCCTTCAGGAAACCCAGTATAGCCTTCTTCCTCCTCCCTACTAGGGATGGCAAACCCAAATATTTTCCACTCGTATCACCCTCCTCCACTCCCAGTATATCAACAACCTCATTTCTTCTATTCTGTGGGACATTTGCACTAAAACATGCAGCAGATTTATCATAATTTATATACTGTCCAGAAGCCCTGGCATAGGTGTCAAGAATATACCTCATATGAATGCTTTCATCCTCATTAGCCCGTAGAAAGAGGAAGGAGTCATCTGCAAAAAGGAGATGAGAGATGGATGGTGCCTCTCTAGCAACTGAAACCCCATGCAAACGGCCCGCAGACATGCTTCTCTCAATCATAGCACTCAACCCCTCAGCCACAAAAAGGAACAAATACGGGGATAGCGGGTTCCCCTAACGGAGGCCTCTTCCTGGTATAACTGGCCCCAAATGCCGCTGATCGTGCAAAATATGATACCGTACTGAGGTCACAGATTCCAGCAAAATATCCACCCATCCACCACCAAACCCCATCTTAAGCAACACCGCCCGTAGAAACTCCCACTCCACCTGATCGTAGGCCTTCGACATGTCAAGCTTCAACGCAACGACCCCCTCACGTCCCTGGGACTTACGCTTCAAAAAGTGGTGAACCTCATAGGCAAGCATGATATTATCAGTTATTAAACGCCCCGGGACAAAGGCACTCTGAGCACATTAAATCAACTTATGCAACATGGGCTTTAAACGATTTGCACATACCTTTGCCGCCACCTTATAGATGATGTTACACAAAGCAATCGGCCGCAAATCCTTCATCGTTTCCGGCCTGGCCTTCTTCAGAATCAGAACAACAAGGGTATCATTAGCCCCACGTGGGAGCTTGGCCGTTTCCAAGAAACTTCTACAAAAAGCCGTTACCGCCCCCCCTACAATGTCCCAGAAATACTGGAAAAACCCCAGTCCAAAACCATCAGGATTCGGGGACTTATCCGGGTGCATCTGAAACACCGCAACACGAACCTCCTCCATACTCAACGGGCGCAACAACATAGCATTATCAACCTTAGTCACCTTCGCAGGAATTGCATCAATCACCTCCTGCATCTCTCCATATTCCGGGGTAAATAGTCCAGTATAATAATTCAACATGACATTATCCAACCCCTGTGGATCCTCCACCCAATTCCCATTCTCATCCTGGAGACGTCTAATAGTATTGCGCTGGCGTCTTGCTTTCACAGAATTGTGAAAAAACTTGCTATTGACATCCCCACCTTGATACCAAAACTCCTTAGCGCGCTGTTTCCAGAAATAATGTTGTTGCTCCAACAAAAAAAGCAACTCTCTCTCGACCGCCTCATACTCTCTCAACCCAGGCTCATCACGACGCCCCCTCAACCATTCTAAGCGTTGCTTATTGAACTCAATCTTACGCTGGAAATCCCTATTATAACTCCGCCCCCACCTCTTCAAATCAAGTGCACATGCTTCCGCCCTTGCTAACGTATCCAGGCCAACCGTTCTATCCCAACTTTGCGCAACAATTTCTTTACATGAAACCTCCCGCAACCACAAATTATCAAAACAGAACCTGGCACGCTTGCGGACCCGTGGGAGAATAACCGGTGTAAGAATCAAGGGTAAATGATCACTATAGGGGACAACCAGAGACTGTGCCCGCGCGCCCTGAAACAAACTCAACCACTCCTCATTAGCTAAAATGCGGTCCAACTTCTCCTCGATCATACCGCTCCTGCCCCGTGACTTAACCCAAGTATACTGTGGCCCACCAAACGGAAAATCGTGCAAATCACAGTCTGCAATAGCCTCCCTAAAACCATTTATACACCAAGGAGGATGTGGGGCTCGTCCAATCTTCTCAGACTGATCAAGGAGGTCATTAAAGTCCCCCATCACTAACCACGGTAGAGTTGACCGAGATGACAAGGTGCGCAACAACTGCCATGCCTCCCGCCTACGGTTCCTCTCTGGATACCCATAAATTTTAAATTTCTATTCTCTTATTTTTACTTCTTGGTATGATAAGGATGATAAATTATCTTCATCCTATAAGGTTCAAGAACCATCAAAATTTTTAATAAATGAGTAAAATTTGGGAGTCCAAGTAATATTTTTCTTATTATTATTGATAATATTTTGGATCAGGAGAAGGAGGAAATGAACCCCACAAAATTAATTGTTAACCGGATGGGATGAATATATCAGTATATGACCGCCATTATATTGCCACGAAACACTCATCTTATCTTGCCCAAGCAAAATAAGATCAGAATCGCAAACCCATGCACATCAGCTAATACAATATACTCGCTTGCTAGCAGCAAGTCTGACACTGACACCTTATTAATTAATACTCTCATCACTTCCCATTGTTTAGCAACCAATTAACCTCTTAGCTTCAAGTCCACCAAAATGTTGAGACAATTAAGTACCCCAGTTCCACATCAGAAACCGACCTTGCTTGCAGCCTGGAATCGCATTCGACAACTATATATATATATATATCTCAAACCTTACTTGGGCCCATGCCGGAAGCGTTAACCTCGGCATCGTTATCTCGACGCCTAAGGCTTCAACCACGCTTTCAACATGTTGTCGCTTTGGCCGAGTGGTTAAGGCGTGTGCCTGCTAAGTACATGGGTTTCCCCGTGAGAGTTCGAATCTCTCAGGCGACGTCAAATTGAACAAGAAAAAAAAATCACAGAGAAGAACATTTCTGAATTTTATTATGATGAGTTATCACAACACACAATATATATATATTGACAACGTAACAAATTAAATGGTGTAATATGAAGTGCGAAAACAAAGTACACTCAAATACAGAAATATAACAATAATAATGCAGGGTACAAGTGGTGATATAACCCCTAAAAAATGGATCAGCTCAACAAAATATATAAGGGGAAATGGACTAGTTAGATGGGGGTGAGGAGAGGGTAGGAATGGTGGGAATTGAAGGGATGGTAGTGGGAATATTAGCGGCGGCCGCCGTCAAAGGTGGCAGAGTCAGCTTGGGAGCGGAAGGCAATGTGGGGAGCGGCAAAGATGGCAAAGGTGGCAATGTAGTAGTGGTCACCTTTGGAGCTGATGAAGGCAATGTGGGAAGGGGTGTGTTTGGCAAAGATGGCATTGGAGGCAGTACTGTGGCTGTTGGCAATTGCGGCAGAGATGGGATCGTAGGCAGTGGAGGCGCTGCCGGAATCTGCAACAGGCGGCGAGCCCCGGTGGTGCCGATGCTCGAAAGGGACAATGTTATGATCAATGAAAGGGCAACAACATTGCTCAGAGCTGCAGCCATGATTGTTTTTGCTTAGTTGGTTTAGGCTTCAGAGAGAGAATGTATGTGTATTTGTATAGCTTGTGTTAGAAGAAAGGAAGGATGATATGATAATCTTGATTGATATATGCTCATTTCATCATTTGAGTGGTATATATAGTGGGATTTTCTGATTTTTTTAAAAAAGAAATCAAAAGTTGGATTAGATGTTTTGAAAAGCATGGAGGATCGAAATTCTGTTGTTAGTTGACCAGCCTTCTCCCGGACTGGACTTTCATGAGTAAGCTAGATTCAAAAGATTAATGTTAGTTCAACACACAATGCCACGTTTTAACTAATTAATTAAATTCATTATTTTATTATTTCAATAAATTAAATGGCATCAATTATTTTAATAAATTTTTAAATAAAAAATCTAAAAAAAAAAAACAAACAAACAAACAAACCGGCGCCCACCCTCCTTCATCTCCACCGGAAATGAAGAGCTTCTCTTTGTCCCCCATGATGGGAGACGAAGAGAGCAACCTGAGAGGGTGGAAAGGGGGCGATTATTATTATTAAAAATTATTTTTAAAAAACTAACACATTATTCACGTATGCAGGCAATTGGAAGAAATGAGTGTGTTAACCTGCTATCAGGTGAAATTACGTATATTTGAGGTGTTTTTTTAGTGGTCTAATTACATTTTAAAATTATATTCTGTGATCAATTTGGACCTTATTTATAATATGCATTGCACGGGTAGAATTGAGGACCTTTTTGCTCATTTGATTCTTCTTCTCCACTATACTTAAATTGCAATCAGTCGATGACATAATCACGACGGGCACCGACACTTGTGATGAGACAGACAGTGCAACCCAGTCCTCTAAACATTTTTAAGTTCTTCTTTTTGAAAAGTTGATAGGCAGTCATGGAAGAAAAAGACCAAAATTGGTCGATTTGGAGCAACTGGAAGAGATAAGATGAGGATGAACAGAATGTAGAGTTGAGGAGGAGCTGAAAGCTGTAGAAGAATGAAGAATGGGTGTTTAGGGTTTCGATCACACGGCCACACGGGTGGGTTGTAGGTTTATAGGATGGGGTGTTGGGTCGGACTGAATTTGGGACAAATTTATATTGGGCTAGATTTTAATATTAGAGTAGTCCAGATTATTATAATCGGCTTAATTAAATATTAGACGTGGTTATTTATTTTTAAACATTTCTAACTTGAGCCTTAACATATAATATTTTGTAAATTCTTTTTTACTAGGATTAAGATTACTATTTTATACATCTAATTAAGATTTGTAAAATATTTATTTTGTAATAATTTGTATTTAATCATGGTTAAATTTCAATTATTTATAGCAATAATTATATATATGTTGTGCATCTCAATAACGATGTGGTGTTATATTTTTTCAAATTCATATATAATGATTAATGACTATCAACAAAACTACAAAAGTTAAGGACAAACAATAAAGTATGTTGGTCTGTTACGTTACTAATGAATTCTAATTTTAATCATGGACAACTTTATGTGATTTAATTTTTTTAGAGTTAGTAGTCTAAAATGACTTAAAATTTTGGTTTATAGTGATTAAAATCGTCATGGTAGTAAATCTAGGGGTGTAAAAGTGGGCCGAAGCCCGCGGGTTAGCCCGCACCCACCCTACGATGGGGCAGGTTAGGGCCGCGAGAAATTAGGCTCGCGAAAATGCGGGCCTAACGGGCATGGCCCGGGAGGGCCAGAGCCCACGCGGGTTGCGAGCCGGCCCGCGGTCCAGGCCATATTTAAAAAATAAATAAATAAAATATATATATAATATCTTAATTCTTAGGCAGTGTGTAGATCTGAGGGAGAAATTCAATAATTCAATAATCTTTCGCCAATTCTTAATTCAATAATTTCTATAGTACGTAGTTCTTCAGTTCTCCCATCTCCATCCGCCTCCAACTCTATCAAACAATTACTAAAACCAAATCATCAATTCATACATATTTATGAATTACTAAATCGCCTCCAAGTCCAGCAAACATACATATTTATATATGTATTATACACAGACGGGAACGGTAGAGGGAAAATCTGAAGCCGAGAGAGAAATAGAGTATGCTGTTGAACCCTAGCTTTGATCACCCTTCTACAGTTCTGCTCAACGCGCGGTATCGATTCGGGAGATTTGGGCAAGGTTTATGGATTTTATGAAAGTTTCCGGTGCATTGAGGTGTATCATACACCATGAGGATGCGAAAGAATTATCAATAAATAGTGTCATATTTCAAGCGGTTTTAACATTTTATATACTATTTAACGTTTTCTTTTTTAAATTTAAGTGATGGCCCGCAGGTCAACTTGCGAGACCCGCAAGCTTGCATGGGGCGGGCTTGGGCTATATAGTTCCAAGCCTCCGAGCTTCGCGGACCGGCGCACAAAAGCCCACCAAATAAAAAGCCCGCGGTGGGACGGGCCGGCCTGCATTGACACCCCTAAGTAAATCTATGAATGTTGAGTACAAAAAAGTATTTAATAATTTATAATTTTAAATTCAAATTAGATTATTAGTTGTTTGTTTCTTGTGTGTGCTATTTTAATTTACAATAAATATAAATTGAAAATAATTATTTAGATTTAAAATTTTCTTTGGGTCATGGCATATAGTGTAATAAATACATTTAAGTTTTATGGAATTTTAATATTTATATATGTAAAAAAAATACTATACGTTATTTATAATATTTTTATAATTTTATACTAATTATTTATGCTTTAATTTTATATATTTTTTAAAATATTACCGTACTGCCCGTGCAACACACATGTGACATTCTAGATTTTAGTGGATACCACTAAACCATAATTTTAAATTGTATGACTCTATTTATAATAGTATTTTCATTCTTTTTAAATGTAATATATTACATATTTATAATAAAAACCTATAATTATTTATATTAATTAAATTTCCAAAAATATATATACTTCAAAAATATCATAATTATTCATTTTATTTTTTTAGTTATATGTTGTATTAAACTTTTAATATAGTTTTAATTACTCAACTTATTGTTTAGCAGCCAATATTAAAATTACTATTTTTTTTTTTAAGAGGAGGGGACACCGTACCCTAACTAGTCTAGTCTGTGAAGAGAACGCCTCTGCGACACCCCAAGAATGTGTTCATTCAATTCACCAACCCAATCTTTCACTCTCATTCCGCATTCATGACGAGTGGTTGTGTAACTATGAGAGTGAAAGATTGGGTTGGTGAAATTTACTCTCACTTCCCATTGTTTAGCAGCCAACCTCTCAACTTGAAGTCCAGCAAAATGTTGAAGTGCCCCGGGTCTCCTCAGTTCCACATCACAAAGCGATCCACCTTGCTGGAATAGACTTCGAAAACTATATAGCTCAAGCCTTAGCTTAATTAGCTTGGTCCCATGCCTGACCAAGACCTTGAAGAGCAGACTAACCTCGGCCTCGTCAGCTCCAGACCTAAGTCATTCCACCCACGCCTTCAATAGTTTGTCGCTTTGGCCGAGTGGTTAAGGCGTGTGCCTGCTAAATACATGGGGTTTCCCCGCGAGAGTTTGAATCCCTCAGGCGACGTCAAGTTTACTACTTACTGTTTTGCATCTGGGTACACTTGGTTTCTTCTTAATTATTCTATCAAAATTAAATCTTAATTAAAAAAAATTGCATTGCATATATATATATATGAACAAAAAAAGTTTTAAAACACAAAAATAGAAATCATTTCAAGTAAAGGTGACTAGCCAAAGAAAATTTTATTATGACGAGTGAAAACCTGGTGTAGAGTTCATGTTTTCATTTTGATAAGTAAAGGGAGATGATATTGAGGGGGTGTTTGGTTCAAGGAATTTTGGATTACCTCCTAGAAGGTAATATGAGATTTTGAGAATGTAAGATTACTTTGTGTGTTTGGTTTGAATAATGTAATATAATATTACCTTGTTTGGTTCAGGATTATATTTCAGGTTATATGGATTAATTTACAATAATACCCTCAAAATATATATATATATATATATATATATATATATATATATATTATGTGTGTTTTTTTATTTATATATCTATGAATGTATATCAAAACTTAAATATTAAAAAAATGAAATATATAAATATACACATATGTATATTTAATTATATAAACATATACTAATTTTATTATTATTATTATTATTATTATTATTATTATTATTATTATTATTATTATTATTATATAAAGATTAGTTAACAAGGATAAAGTTGGAATAATTCAAGATAATCTAAAATTACCTACAAAAAATGGGGGTAATCACATTACCTTGAAACATTACCGACATATCATTACCTTGTAATCTCATAACTTGAACCAAACAAGGTAATATAACATTACCAGACTCAAATGACCTGAACCAAACGCCCCCCTGAATGTAATCATAGTAATAAAAAAAAAAATATATGCAATTAAGTAGACAATGGTGAGAACGTGATTATAGTAATATATAGCTAGATAGATAAATATGTTTTTCATTTAGGAATCCGTTTTTTAAAGTTTATTATTTAGAGAAGAGAAAAATATGCTAAAACATATTTTTTTTATTTTTTATTCTCCAATTTTCTAATTTTTTTGAAAATAAAAAAATTGAAGAAAATTTTCAAAAGATTAGAAAAATTCTTCAATTAGTATACACCGGACACCGCTCCAAACGTCCCGATACGGTTGATGAAACGTACAAAGTGAGATGGAATTGAAGTCCATGATTGTCTGTATACAACTGGACACAGCATGAAACTCTGGTTTGTAAATGAAGGGAGAGGGGGGTGGACCCACAAGTACAAAACCATATCTTGAGTGGGATTTAGTGTGATAGTAAAGGAAGGATGGAAATAATGTAAACAAAATATTACTTGGACTTTTAAATTTTATTCTCGATTTTTAATCTTTTTTATAAATTTTGAATGTAATTAATTTTTGTAAACTCAAAACATGAAAATGTTTTAGTTATACTTATCATATTAATAATTACTCTGTATAATTGATGGAATAAAATTTAAAACTCAAAAAGGGTGAAAGAAAGAGATGACTGATGAGGGACAACATTAGATAAAAGGACAAATGGCATACACAAGTCTATTCATTAGTCACTACACAGCCAGCTAAACTATGTCTATGTTCAAGAGCTATCAAACCTACCCAAATACGGAATATATATTTAATATGAGTTCTAGTCTCAAATTTTATTTATTGAATTTCACCGGTTGATCTGATGTGGATTTCAATACAAATATTTATATCAAAATTTTGTAAATGAGTAATAAATAGAAGCACACTAGTTAAGTCTTTCTAGACTCACTTTGAGAGTGATGACTATGTGAGAGAACATCTATGCTATACAATTCAATAAGTCTTAGAAATGTTCTTATATAAATAGTAGTGCAAACCTACTTTTCAAATTCATATAGGACAAAAGCTTCATACAAATCTTTCCACCTTCATTTTTAAACTTTAATGGGTTTACTTTGAGAATCAATTCCTCATTCACGTATTATCTGTTTTGAGAGTATAATATATTCCAATCTCTTCGTCCCACTACGAAGAACCCGAATCTACTTTAACTCGGCTCAAATCAGAATTGGACCCTACTAATAATTATATCACAAAACAACCACTTAAAATATCATTTTATATTATTTTTCCATTGGACCCTAACATTCAAATTCTAATAATACAACTTTAAAATCAACATAATAATAGCATAATTAAACTTTTAAAAATATTAAATATTACATTGTATAGTTATACTTATATTTTTAGTCAAACTAATTCTGAGCTCAAAAACTCAAGTACGTTTTTCTGTTTCAACAACTATTACTTTCTTTGCTAATTCAGATGTCAAAAATTTAATTGGTAAATTTGTTAAATTAATAATAGTTCGTGCATCACGGGACGATTACTGGTATATATATATATATATATATATATATATATATATATATATATATATATACAAAAGAATCTATAGTACTCATGTTGGGATTAAACTTCTCATCCTGCAGGCTGCAGCTCAGCAGCTGGCGATCCTGATTCCTGATAGACAGACATTATTTGGAGAGTTACTTGATTGCATAGTAGAGTTACTCCATAGTTGTGTTTGATAAGAATTGTGAAAATAATTTAGTTTAACATTATTCAAAGGAAAGTATAAATTACTGAAAGCAAAATATATGGCACTCGTTAATAAAAACAACCCAAACCTGGGGCTTCAATTCCTGGCCTGCTTCGAATTCACCAGAAAAAGGGCAAAAGGCTTAGCTTTCTTCTCCTATCTTGTACTGTACTACTTTTTTACCTTAATTCTTTCCTTTTTCCCACCACAGAAAAATATTCCGACCCTGCCTTTTAGTTTGTACAGAATATCAAAGCTCACAATGTCCCAACCAACCAAAACCCTTTGTAGTTTGTACAGAAATCAAAGCTCACAATGTCCTAAACCAACCAAAACCCATACTCCTTTAGCTACCCACTCATCCTGTCAGTTGTCTTCACTCTGGACGGTAAAGCTTTAATGGTTTATTATTTGGTTGGACGTAGTTGAAATTCATTTTTTACTTTATTTCATGACAATACAAATTATAGTATTTTTTGAACATATCTTAAGGTAGGAAGCACCTTTAGGCATCATTGGGTTGGTCCAATTAAGAGACAAAGTGCTGATCAGATTAGTTTTTTCGTACGAGATGAGGTTCAAACTTTTGACCCTCTTAAAAGGTGAGAGTGAGAGTGCACGGCCACTCACACCAATCAAGTTGGTTTACAATTACAACTGAAGTTCATATATTTAAATTAAAGGTTGGAGCCAAGGAAGTAGTGGTAAGAAGGCGGGCGGTGGTTGAATACTATAGAACATATAACCATTAATGTGCAATTCAACTATCAGTTTAATTGAGATGGAGCAGATGCTTTAATTAATACTACGTCTTTCTTTCTCAAAACTTGTGCCAGTCTGAGAGCAAGGCCACTGGATCTGTGAACACTGAACACAAATCGATCAATGGCCAACTAAGGGCGTGTCTAGGGTTTATTGCCCTAATTATGGCAAAATTTAATGCCGCCAGCCACCTCAGTCCAGTCCTCACTCACTCCCATAATCACTCTATTTTTGGAAACAAAGCCTTCTCATCCTTTCTACATATAGTAGTAACTCGTAAGTAGTTGTCCCCGTTTTGTATCCCGGTTAATTCTGTGTTCCCTCGTTCATCCTGTCGGAAAAAATGGCAAGAGACAAGATTCAGATCAGGAAAATCGACAACGTCACGGCGAGGCAGGTCACTTTCTCCAAGAGAAGAAGAGGCCTTTTCAAGAAAGCCGAGGAACTCTCTGTTCTTTGCGATGCTGACGTCGCTCTCATCGTCTTCTCTTCTTCTGCCAAGCTCTTTCACTATTCTAACTCCAGGTCCTCTCTCTCTTCACACCCTAGCTTTGATATATACATACATAAATGTAGAATAGTTGTAAGAAGTGAAAATAGAATCTGAGTTTTTTAATTTTGGACCATTACAATAATTATGCTCACTGTTTGCTGCTGTGTTTGGTATTGAATTAAGTTTTTAGTGTAAAATGGCAATCATCATAAGAAAACTATCTCTTTTGATTTTATGAAGCATGAGGGAAATACTTGAAAAACGTAATCTCCACTCCAAGAACCTTCAGAAAATGGGGCTGCAGCCATCTGTTGAATTGCAGGTACATGTATCATTCTTTAATTTCTCCATTGCTTCATGCTTTGTGTTTGTCTCTTTATGGATTTAGAGAGTTTGGTATTACCATTTTCTTTCTTCTTTTTTTTTTTTCAACATCAAATTGATCTAGTGCTCTTGCTGGTACTTTTTTTTTTCTTTCTGAAGATCAAACTTAATTTGTGCAGCTGGTAGAGAATAGTAACCATTCCAGATCGAGCAAGGAAATTGCTGAGAAAACCCAACGGCTAAGGTGCGTTAGTTTGTGTACTCTTGGCTAAATTTCCGGGCCCGATGCATACTAAGATCAAGATGTAGTCTTGGCTATATATGAACAGGCAAATGAGGGGAGAGGAGCTTCAAGAATTGAGTATTGAAGAGTTGCAGCAGTTGGAGAGGTCCCTTCAAATAGGTTTGGACCATGTTATCAACAAAAAGGTTTAATTTGTGCTACCCGTTGATATTATGGTTATGATCAATCTTATATATATATATATATATATATATATATATATATATATATATATATATATGGTCTATTATATTTTTCACAAACATTTGTTTTTTTGACTAATTTGTCAGGGTGAAAAGATTATGAAGGAAATAAACCAGCTTCAAGAAAAGGTCCATCTGGAACCTAACAATCTCTCAATTTCCATTAACTAATTTGTATTCAGAAACAAACACTGTCAATGATCCTATACCAGTGTTTCAAAAATTGCAGGGAGTGCATTTAATGGAAGAAAATGAACGATTAAGACAGCAGGTATGGGGTCTATATAATAGAATGTACAAATTAAACTTACATTTTCCCACATAACAGGGAACTCAAAATCAGTTGTTGTGTGATATAATGTGAAGGTGGTAGAGACATCAAAAGGTCAGAGATCGATGGCAGTGGCTCCCCGGGATTCAGAGAACCTGTTGAACGAGGAAGGCGGCCTGTCCTCTGAGTCTGTCACTAATGCCTGCAAGTATCCTGGCACCCCACAAGATTATTATGAAGATTGCTCTGATACTTCTCTTAAGTTGGGGTAAACTCCTTTGTTACCACACATTTAATACAAATATAAATTATACCTTTTTTTTTTCTTTTTCTTGCATACTACTTTGCTGGTATCTGCATCTCGTTGGATGAAATTAAGTTCAAACTCTCAATCTTATATGCTTAAACGACTCAAACGTACTCTACCTTTCGTCTCTTTAAATTTGAGTCAATACAAATGGTCGTTAGAGCTCGATAGTATATGAACTTGTTAATTGGCTGTCATCCTTTTCTTCTTTCTTAAAGTCCATTCATTATGGCAGGTTGCCCTACACAGGCTGAATGGAGAATCCTAACCACTGGCTAAAGAGTCTTCTAACTTTTTTTTTTTTTTTGGGTACTCTGATGAGAACAAGGGATCGTTAACTGTACTATTTATAATTGCAGTAATTATATATGTATTAAGTACTTATATATTTTCCTAGTGTTACGTTGATACTAATGTTTCAAATTAGGATACATTGCATGCATGTGATATGCCATATGCCTACTCACGTTATGTTTGTATCCCTTTCTCCTCGTTTTATGTATAATGTATGTACATGCCAGCTCGTACATGTACAGCAATTTGAGCACCAATATGCTTTTTCATCCCATCTACATATTCACCTTAATTTGTCTAGCGTGTATTGGAATTTTTTTTATTTATTTTTTGATAATAGGTGGTGGTGGGACTGAGGGTACAATATGGTTTTAAATTTTGTATTAGTTTAGAGTTCGAGATAAATGTTAGTTTATATACAAATAATTATGGGAGTTAACCTATCATCGGTTACAAAGAGATTACTCCATGTTAAATATGGGAATCAGTCATTATTGTGTGGATCATAAATAAATGTACATTATTTGTATACATAAAGTACATTATTTGATTATTGAAAATACATTATTTTGTAAATAATATACTTTTCGTATATTAAAAATGTATCTTGTATTTAAAAAAAATACATTGTTTTTTTTTTATAATGTATTGATGTATATTCAGTACACAAATAATGTACTTTTAATATATTAAAATTAAAATTAAAATGTATAATTTTTTTATAATCCACATAACACTGTGTAAACTATAGTCCATATAATCATTTGCCGATGGGAACAGTTTAGGCCTATTTTGGCTTTAGTCCAATCGTTATGTTGTGGAACCGTGTCCACCTTGCAAGGTGGACACAAGGTGGACACAGTTCTGTGTTCATAATTACTGAATTATATGTTCATAATTATAAAGCTATATATTCATAATTTTTGAACTTCATATTCATAATTATTGAACTCTATATTCACAATTACAGATGTTCTTAATTACTGAACTATATGTTCATAATTATAAAGCTATATATTCATAATTTTTGAACTTCATATCCACACTTATTGAATCTCTATATTCATAATTACATAACTATATGTTCATAATTAATTAATTATAGAACTATATGTTCATAATTTTTGAACTATATATTCATAATTATGAACAGTTTTGGAACTGTGTCCACGATTTCCCAACATAATTTGCCGGCTTTAGTCTATTTAGGAAAATGTTTGCTTACACCATGGACCGTTCACCTTACAAGGTGGACTGACTCAAGGTTATATCGAAGGTTCATTTTTAGTACACTAAATATTCATTTTTAATATATTGAATGTTAAATTTTAGATATATATACCATCTAAAACTGAACATTCAGTACATTAAAAATAAACTTTCAGCATACTAAAATTAAACGGTCTACCCTCTACAATATAATTTACCCAATGGATTTACTCTTGAGTTTTGGGGTTGAGACTGAGAGAAAATCTACCATTGTTTTCAGCATAGTTCAACCAAAGATGAAGATGAAATGATTTAAAAAAACAAGAATCCATCCAAAATTCCAAATACAAACACATAAGTTATAAAGCCAGTGGTCTATGCCTGCTTGGCCTTGCGGAGAGCTTTCTTCCTTTGTCCAAGCATGTAGCCATACATGTGAGGGCTGCCTGCAATGGACAACACAAAATCACTCACTAAATGAATCCAGATAAGATTGCAATTGCTTGCTTAGATGAATATGAATGAATAAAGCTCATGCCTGGAACATAGATGGCCAACACAACAAATGCCATGTAGTAGTAGTCGAAAGAAAAGTTCCATTTGTTGGGCATCCAAAATGAATACTTTCCCGATTCCTGCAAATAAAATACCATTGTAAGAATCCATAAAAATATCGATCACCCAAAAAACTGTGAAGGGAGGGAGCGAGGTTAGTTTTTCTTGCAAATTGCAAATTGCAATTTAACGTTTAACATAATTTGACCCAATACAACTATACAAGAGAAAGTGATTTCAATTTTACCATGAGGTAAGGAAGAGCCTTGTATATTAAACCAACTTCACTTGTAATGCCGGTAGGATATAGCAAGATGAAGGAGCTATACCTGAATTTATTAAACGATAATGATTTTAAAAAATCCAAACTGAATATGCCGTGACTGATACTGTATATATAACAAATGTGATAGACTTTGTACCTAAGCCACAAGAGCCCTGAAGGTCCACGGCCAAATGCCTCCTTTGTGCCAAAGAATGAATACCGGATAATCTAAAGTTTATGCACAAACAAGATGGTCTTTAAAACGAATTTATACTTGATGAGAAGCATGTTTTGCCAGAAATTCATCATTTGCATACATTAAACTTAGGGCATACTCAACTGAAAAATGCTCCCCTCACTATCCTCACAGTTTAAGAGAATTCTCCATTTTATCATTTTTACGTAAATAGGGAAACTGTTCATATTTTCTGCTTTTATTTGTTTCCCTAAAAGGAGATCCAATCACAACAAATATAACGTGCACACTCTATCCTTCAACATCAAAGTTGATGTTTTCAGTGAGAACATCATTGCATAACTCGAAAAATCCAAAGCAAAGGAGACTGATGTTTAAGAATAAATTAACCTAGGCAGCTTATAAACCGGCAAGTCTTACCTCTGTGATAGACCAACTAATGACTAGAGAACTAACAAATACATGGGTCCGAATCTGCGACCAGCAAAGCATTCTATTAGTACCAACTTCACGGATAACAGGAGGCACAAATTAAACAAAAAACATCAAATATCAACCTCACCTCAGGAAAGCTATACAAAATCCCCCAAGTAACATATAATCTCGATCCTATCTGTGGCAGTGTTGCTGAAATAGGAGATCTCACAAGTCCTATACAAGAAAGACAGAGGAGATAGAGAAAGGAGAGAAGTTAATTATAGTTAAGTAGTTCGACTTTGAAGGTCTCTCTCAATAAAAAGATTATAGCTCTGACTTGTGAACTCACCTACTAGACCATGAAGTATCTGTTCCATGATTATTTTTGGACAAAAATAGGACCCCAATGTCAGTTTTCCATGATGAAAGAATTTCAAAATAATAAATGATAACAAATAAAAAGACAGGCTGCACACAATGACTGATAAAGTATGTATCTTTACCTAAACTTAAAAATCAATTACCTAGGACTATTCTTAAATCGCAGAAACAATTGCCCAGATTCCTAATATATACGAAGTAATTGCATTTGCTAGGCTGCTTAACTGATTGAAAGCATACATTTAAGCAGCCATATCCTTGAATATTAAAGAAACTACTATCCAAATTTCAGCATTCGATTGAACAGTAGTATTAACAAAGTCGGAAAGTCGTGGAATTACCTCCAATACGGCGGCGGATTGAGCTAAAAGCAGAGGCTTTTCGACGGCTTGGTAGACATTTTCGTGCCCAGACTCCATTAGAGTCTTCACAGCAAGATAAAACACCTGAACCCTGAGATCCCAATCACCAAAATCAAAAATTTTCTACAGAAAAAAAAAAATGGAAGAAAATACAGATCTGAGAATGGGTATTGAACTTGCCATCCTACAAACACAACCCAATTGTAAAGGGCGAGGTAGAAGCGCCTCAAGCCTGAAAAAACTCCACCCGCCATCGAAGAAGGCGTGCTTGAAATTGAAACCTCAGCTCAGTTGAGATGAGCGGAAGAAACGAAGAAATATGAATTGGGTGTTTGCAATTTCTAATTAAATAATATCGGAGTATTTAATTTGTAGGTGAACGGATCACCAACTCGCCATCTGTCACTCCATCTTTCCAACGATCAACTGCACGGAAGACGAACTATATCTGTTCTCGTTATCTCGTATATGCCAAATAAAAGACAAAGCACAACGACATCGTACCATTCCCAATTACTCCTCGATGTAATAGGGATTGTTTTTTTTTTTTTTGTTTTTTTTTTTATTGCAACTTACTCTATTACGTAATATAGTATCTGTTATAACTATTCTCTTAATCTACTGAAGCACAAAGAGTTGATATTGCCTTCACTTTATAAGGAGTTAAACTTTAGTGTCATTAGACCACAAGGTCTTGGAAGTAGAGATTGTTTTTAGTATAGTTTTAAAATGTATAAATTTTATATATTTAATGTCATATATTGGTGACAGGTCATTTTTAGTTCTTTTTATCAAAACATATCCATTTAGTTTTAGTATTATTGTTACACGATCATTTTTTTTTTGTCTTTCATCAACAAAATTGTTAAAATGGCATTAAATACAATGACATTTTATTTATTTTTCTTCTCCAACAAATTATTACTTATACGTAGGGATGACCACGGTTTGGTTTGAATTGAACCGAATACTATAACAATCGAATTAATAGTTTCCGGTTATGATTCAGATCTATAACCCAATATTTGAGTTTCAGTTTATTAAAATTATGAATCGAAATTCGAAAAAAAACTGGATCTTAAACCGTGAACCGATGGTTCCGGATTCGATTCGCGATTTTGAACCGTCCTTATTTTAAAATTTTATTATTTTTAAATAGCTAAATTTAACAATAAATGTATTTTAATTTTTTCAGTTCAGAACATGAACCGGCCGTTCCGGTTCACGATTTTAATAAACTCTAAATATTAGATTTCAATTCTAAATTGTAATTGAAATATTTCAATTTGACTGCTATAGTGTCTATTTGGTTTGAACCAAATCGTAGTCATAACTTATTGGAGAATAAAAACAAATGAAATATTTATTTTAAAGGTAAATATGTTCACTCAATATTTCGAGGAGGGGGGGGGGGGGGGAGGGGATTATCCACTTAAATAATTCAGAGAGAAAAGTGATACTCCGCATAAGTATATAACTCAAGAGAAAAAAAAATACTATTTTCCCTAAATTTTATTATTTGAGTCAGGCACTAAAATAAGGCACAATAGGTATTACTATAAAAGGTTAAAAATATAAGGAAATTGTTAGACTATAGTAGCATTATTTGTTTTCAAATTTAAAATTAACAAAAGTTGCTTTCAACAAAAAAAAAATAAAAAAAAAATAAAAAAAAAATAACACAAGTTGGTGTGCAACTTTTTTT